TTTTTTTTTTTTTTTTTTACTTTACATGCATTGTCCTGATTCTCAACAGCAAGCTTGTAAACTAGGTATTGTCGTCTTCATTTTACAGATGAGGAAACCAAGGCTCAGAGAGGTTAAGCAAAGTTACACAGCTGTCAGGTGGCAGTCAGGATTCAAACCCAGATCTGTCTGACTAAGGCCTGTGCTCTTTCTACTGTGCTACTGCTTCCAATTTTGATGATAAACATCTTTGACTGAGTTTCTGAGTATTACCTCAAAAATTACCAAATCTAGCCAGCGGTGATCTGAAATAGTTTTGAGCTTATGTTGCATATTTTAAAAATACAGTTTAGGATAACTTGTGGATCATTAATCATTCCAGATTCATTCTCTCTAATCTCTAGGAAACCTTTATTATTTGGCAGTCATTTTACTTATCTTACTTTGGATCGTATATTTCCCAGCACCTGTCCCACATGGTCTGTGGTTTTTGGAAGCCTCAGTCTGATTCCTGCCTCTATCTCTCCTAGTGGATTAACCTTGCCTTATCTTTGCTGTGAGGATTGAGACCTCAGACCTTGTAAGCTTGCCTCCTTGGCAGTTGTCTCCAGACTGCCTTGTACGTCACAATTGCTCTGACTCTTCTAACCTTTTTCTTGTCCCTACTCTGAGAAGGCTCTCCCTTTTTAGGAAGGGATAGCCCCCTTAATTTTCCTGGACTCATTCCTTTAGTTTCCTCTGGGCTTTCATTTGTTGCTTTGCCATCTTTTGTCTGTCTGTCTGTCTGTCTGAGATAGAGTCTCACATGTAGCTCAGGCTGGCCTTGAACTCATGGTAATCCTCCTGCCTCAGCCTCACAAGTGCTGGGGTTACATGCATGTGCCATCATACCCAGCTGCTTCACTCACCATCTTTGATTTATTTTTTTCCAGCTTCTTTCCCTTTATTACAAGCATACTCAGATTGCCTGATGTATTTTCCCTAAGTTTTAGCCCTTCTTTTTGTTGTTGTTGTTTTTTTTGTTTGTTTGTTTGCTTTGGTTTGTTTTTGGTTTTTTTGAGACTTATTCTCCCTGTATAGCCCAGGCTATCCTTAAACTTGGAATCCTCCTGCTTCAGTGCCTGTTTGAACCACTACATTTATTTTTTCTCATGTCCTTTGTGTTTGGGGGCATTAAAAAATAATTAAAGGATATTTATGGTAAAATAAATAATATCCCTGTTAAACTTCTTTACAGAAATCAGCATTGATTGTTTTGTTCTTTCTTCCTGAAAACATGTTTAACCTTACAGTTTAACCTTATCCTTCAGCTTTTGAAGGTCAAATTGACTTCCTAATTTCTGACCTATCAGACACTTTTTTTTTTACTCCTCATCTTTCCTGATGTCTGTAGAGCATTTCACACTCATGGCCTTGCCTTTGGTAGAACTGCTCTTCCTGGCTCTTTTTCATCCTGACCTTTGATTTTTTTTTTTCCCCCTTCCCCCTTGAGACCAGGATACTCCATGATTCTGTTCATGACAGCCTTCTCTTTGCTATATGCAAAATTTGTACCCTGGAGATGTCAACTAGTTCTATAGCACGAATACTAGCTACTTAACACCTTGCTAAGTTGGCAAATGGTTATTGAGCAAAAGGCACTATACTAAGTACTAAAAATTTAGAGAGAATCAAAATAGTCCATTCTCAGAGAAAGCTTACTGTCTACTAGAAAATAGACACATACCAAATCATTATTCCTGATAGCATTGTATATTAAAAAAGAACACTGGATTTAATCAAAAGATAGGAGTTTGGATCCCGATGCCACCTCTTACCAACTGGGTAATTTGGGTATGAATTGCATAACTTCTCTGATCCTGTTTGTTCTCCTTGTCAACCTCACAAGGTTCCCGTGAAGAGTGAGTGTGTGATAGTTTCTGCACCATCTAGCCCTGCCCTTATATCTCTCCTGAACTGCGTTTTCATCTGTTCAACATCTCACCCAGTTAGTCAGATACCTCAAATATATAAAAATTTGAAGTCAAAATCATGATCCTGTATGGTCTCTTTTCTTATTATTTTCAATCATTTCAGTATTATTTACCTAATTCTACTCATTGTGTCACTATATATTCTTGTCATTTGGATACAAAATATCTGGTTATTGCCTCTTTTTCCTTAAGAGATACATAATACCTGTACTTACCAAGTGTCTTTCTTTTACTTCATCACTTGCATCAGAGCCACCTTTACTCATTCTGTTGGAACCCTAGTTCCAGTGCCATCATGCCAAGAGTATTAATCAGCTTCCTAATTCATCTCCTTCATCCCTTTACTATGCAGCCTGTTCTGTGCACTTCATGAAGTACCGTTCTCATTTTTAGTCCCTTTAATCAGAAACCTTCATTAGCAACAGCATTGCGTATCACACAATATCAGTCCTCTTAGATACTAGCTTTTAAAACCTACCCCATCTGCTCCAGCCTAACTCTATAGCTATATCTCTCACTAAGCAGCGGGATTCTGATCAATCTGTTACTTTCCTCTTTAGTATCATTTTCTCCCTGCCTATCCCTGCTTGTGCCTCTATTCCTTCATCGTTTTACCAGTTGAACTCTTCCCATCTTTCACAGTCACCTCGAATGCAAACAGATCTTTGATGGATTGAGGCCAAACTAGTATAAACATTAATGGCTTCTTTAGCCGTTACTTTCCCTCCAGCATCATTAGCCATTTAACACCCTAATAAATGACTTGCATTTTCTCAGGCGTACCACAATCTTTCATTATTCCATTCATTCAGTGTCTGTAGAGTCAACGCTGCCTTCCTTGATTTCTCCAACTAAAAGTCACTCTCCTTTTAGAATTGTGTTTAAATAGAACTTTGCATGTCATGTATGAAATCTAGCAGACACTGCTTTCCTTCATGGCTTTCCAGTGTATGAGTTACCTGTCTCCCTAATTAAGGGGTTCCAGCTCTGAAACTGTGTGTTCTGCAGTATGGTATGTACACCTAGGTATTAAAATGTTTGCTAGGACTACTCTTCTGGTACACTGAGCACGAAGCCCAGTGCACCAGAATGCTGCCTCTCTCTCAGTGCTCCCTCATCTCCCTGGGATATTTTCTCCTTATTTCAGGTCTCTCAGTGGACTTGTTCCTATTGCCTTTTCCCTTTAGCTAACTTCTTCTGGGCCTTCTCTTCACCATCTTCCATCTGGCTGTTGAAGTGACTACTAGACTGATACTAATCAGACCTGGATGTTCACCTTAATTAAGAATGTTGTTCAGGTCAAAAGTTAAGGATAACTGGAATTGTGATGACTCGTGCCATTTTTATTCTCGGTTTTGAACTACCTTTTGGTTCTAAGTTTATGGGGTTACTGGTCTTTTTTTTTTTTTTTTCTCAGTACTTGTCTTGACTCTTCTAGGGAAAATATTTTGGGATTAATCTAAGAATTTGTAGTTTTTTTTTCAGAATGTATATAATTAGTTCTATTTTTAATTTTTAATCTTATTTACCATTAAAGGTTGAAGAAATCTTGATTGTGATGAAAATAAATTTATTTTTCTTTCAACAGTGACATTGTGAGGAAGATTGATCAATCTGAATTTGAAGGTTTTGAATATATCAATCCTCTTTTGATGTCTGCAGAAGAATGTGTCTGATCATCTTTCATCTATGCATTCTGCTTATGTTTCCATTTAATGCATGAATAAACTGTTACCAGCCTTTTCACTAACCATTTCATATTTGTTATCTACAGAAATTCATTATCCTTTATTATAGACTGTAAGAATCAAGTATTACACCTAAATGTAACTACAGAAAAGAAATTAAGATTAACTTCCGGACAATCATGTTGAAATTTAGTTACATGGTTCTTCAGAGGCCTCCTGATGAGTAATGAAGTTACCTATTTGTTCAAAAGAAATACCACAACTTTTCAAAGAAAGCATCCGTTGCATTAAAGCACATGAGAGATAACATCATAAGTTTCCCATAATTTTTGCCGTTCTGTGTTGTCAGTTTGAGGATTTAATTTTGGAATAAAAGGTTAATTTAAAATACAGCAACTTTCTACATTACCTCTTGGTTTTGGAATTTATGTTTCAAAATACAGCTGTAAATTTTATTTCCTTGGATAACTACTGATTTTAAAGGTAACAGTCACTAAATTTATACTGACATTTCTTGGAGGATTTTCCCTTTCCCTGTGCCTGTCCCTTTCCTTCTCCCTCCTTTTCTCTCCCTCTCCTTTCCGCACCTCCCTCTGTCTCCCCACTCCCCTTCCCTTCTCTCTGTCCCTCCCCATCTCTCTCTCTGACGGGTCTCATCATTGGAACTCACTGCGTAGCCCAGGCTGTCCTCAAGTGTATGATCCTCCTGTCTCGATCTTTGAGTGCAGAGACAGATTCTTCTTCAGTTAAAATGTAGACATGCTCTGTTTAGAATCAGAATCCAAATCATTGGCTATTTTTTAAAAATTGGCACAAGTGATTTTTAGAATAAAAGAGTTGCTTCTGAGCTTGCTCTTTTAGTGAAATCTTTAACTGGAATGTTAATATATATAGTTCAGAAGACCTAGGATGCAGTTGAATGGAAAATTGCTCAATATATATATAGAGAGAGAGAGAAAAAATCAAAATTTAAGGTAGATGCACAAAAATGAAATAGAGATATTTATTTCTTATTAAAGGTATATCACCTGGACATGGTGGTGCACACCTGTAATCCCAGCACTCGGGAGGCTGAGGCAGGAGGATCACTTCGAGTTCATGGCCAGCCTGAGCTACATAGTGAGACCCTGTCTCAACAAAACAAAACAAAAAATATACATCCTACAATTGCTTTTTCTGATTTGACTTAGATAACAAGAAGGCATTCACTTGTTATAAAACCTGTAAACACATTCCATTTATTAAGTGAAGACGATGTATATAATATTTTTTCATTTGCTACACAGGAAAGTAATTTGTCTTTTAAGAAGAATGTCTTAACTGTGCTTGTTTCTCTCCAAACCATATCACCTGTACTTTTGGGCCCCAGTTTATGGAGTCTTCAGTGAAATTCAAAAAATAATAACAATTGCGAATAAATGTGTAGAAAACACATATATTACAGTTCTGTCTCCTTAACTGAGTTTTTAGTTAGTAGATAATTGCATGTAATAGTAGAATTCATTTCAGGGCAGAGTTCTTCAGACTACCCTTATTAAAGTTAATAGCAATTTATTATTTAAAGAGGTGCCAGAGGTAGCACTCCTCTGTTTAACATAATTTTTTTGCGAATTACTGGAAAAGTGACCATGATCATCTAGATGAGTTTCAGTGGCACAATCTTAGTAAAATTTAACTTTAGGGAAGTTATATAGTTTTAAATTTAGAAAGATTTAAAATTTGTATGCATTTAATAAATTATCTTTATTTTTTGATGCTTCATTTCATTAGAAATGTAGTTTTCCAAAGCTTGTAGTGATAGATTATCTTTTCTTCAAGTAACTAAGTCTGAAAAATGAAACCTTATCTTAATGCCTGGAACTTGTTTTAAAACAAAAAGCAGTATTCACATCATGAATTTATAGAATTCTGACTTGTCAGAGTTGTGTTTATGTTCTTGCTTTTAAGTGGTGCTGTTTCCCATAGAGCATTTCAGAATGTGGAATAATCGAATACAGAATTTGTTTTA